AAGTGATAGAGGGGTGGGGGTGGGCGGGGGTTGTGGCCGGGAGGGGTGGGGGGTGGGGAGGAAGAGGAATAGAAGGGCTGACGAGGATAAAGGACAGATGACCTTTTCAGGGTAAAGTACAACTCGGCAAGTGTTATCGATTTCGCACGCCTCTCTTTCCCCCGAGAATTTTTTTCGCGACGTCTTCCTAGACTCGACGAGGACACCCTGAAGCCAAGAAGAGGGCCGCGCCGTATTACCTGCCAGCAGCAGCCGCCTTGTCGAATTCCATAGTCTCGGCATCGGAAGCTATTTGACCATCGGCTGACAAATCACCGCCATCCTCGCCCTTCTTGCTCATCCAGCTGGACACTTGGCTCGTCAGGCCCGAGAACATCGTGCTCGAGATTGTGGCGATCGCTGCTGTCGTCGTCGTCGTCGTCGGCCTTGCGCTCCTTATCGAATGATGCGCGCGCTCGCGCGCGCACGCTAGAAAGAAAGAGAGGGAGAGCAAGAAATCCCCCGGCGGCTCCGCCTCGCTTTATTTTCCCTCCTTCTCTTTCACTCGCACGCACTCCCCTCTCGCTCTCTCGCGCGCACTTTCTCTGCCTAGATGACGGTCCTCGTACACCTCACGAAAGCCCCAAAGACCGCAGCTCCTGCCGTCCCACCGTTATCCACCTCGAATTTACCTCCTTCCACGCTACCCCCGATGCACTTGTAACCTGTCCCGCGTGCTAAAACGTGATGTCTTAGGAACAATCGCTCGACGATGTTCCTTTATTTTAGCGCCTGATGCACCTCTCGTATGCACTGCTACAAGCCCGCAACTACGATTCGCTCTCGGCTCCTCGCGACCGGGAGTACAAATGACAAACCTCCTGCCTGGCTAAATACTCCACTACTACTGGCTCGACAGTGGCTAAGTAAATGCTCTTGATACTGGGAATGGATCGTGGAAACTGGAAATTCATGTAGGATGTGCGCAAAGTCGGAACGACTCGTCGTCCCAGGGGAAGGGGGGCGAGAAAACACGCACTTCGACTCTTCACGGCACACGTGTATGTATGTATATAGCGATCAATGCGCGCGCGCGCACCCGCGCAACTGTAATGATAAAGCGTGGAAACTTGGGGGCTACCGGCGCGAGCTTTGAAGCTCCAAATGTCTACGGGGACGTTTGAATGAATTTCTTATTTGGATATTCGAGGCTCTGATGATAGGGTCTCTACAACTTGGATTTAAGAATAATCGGTGAACGAATGAGAATAATAAATTTAATGGAAACTGCTGCTTTGAGGTTAAGGCTTTCAGCACGACCCATTGATTGTTCTTTGTTATATGAAATTAATCAAGTGCTTTCATATAGACCTTTGATTTCATTTTTTTTTTTGTTTTTTTTTTTTGTTTTTTTGTTTTTTTTCTTCTCTATTCTATTACTCGATAGAAGTAAATGTAGGCACAAGAGACGTGCAAGAGTCATGTGAATACGAGTTTTATCGTATTCAACGATTCGACGAGCAAAACTTACCGACAATATAATTATTATTCATTTAGAGCAATAAAGAGATATATCGATAAATAACTAGATTTATAAAAATTAAATGAAATATGAATTATTTCATATGTTGATATACTAATTATATAAATAAAAATTCGTTTAAAAGTTGCATACTATTTTAAACGGAAAGTTTTATTAGACAAATTGTAACAAATATTTATATTATATAATTTAGCAAATATATAATTAGGAGCTTTGTTGTTTGTAATATATAATCATTTGCAATTTAAAGATACTAGCCTGTCTCTTGCTTTTTAGTTTTTTTTTTTTTTTTTTTTTTTTTTTTTTTTTTTTCATGACAATCATAAATTTCATTATATTATTATATTCAACATTATATTGTTATATAAAAATTCATTATATTATTATAACAACATTATATTCAAATTATTCAAATTGTAAGTTTCTGTATTAAACTGTGCATATATAAAATTCTAGTATATTATAAATTATGCAATGAATTTTTCTTTCGGATATTTATTAGGGTTTTATTCATTCATAAATTTTTCTAATCATAATATTTAAATATCGTTTACTTAATCAATTACAAGTCTAAAATAATTTTGTAGAACTTTGTATTCATTCGTTAAAAAATAAATGATTATTTTTACCCAAATTTATAATGAAAAGTTTTATCAATGTTTGCAAAAATACTGTTACTTTTAAACTTTCTTAAATACAATAACATCAGTCAATTAAATTTTCCAAATGACTGTTACAATTTATAAAAATTATATATTTAATATATTAATTAATATATTATTATTATTATGTATGGGTATTACACTTCAAATAAAAAAAAAAGAAAATCAAAATATCGTACGAACCTTTCGTAAAGAAAAACTCTAGGCGCAAAAAATGTTAAACAAAAAAATTTACATAATCATCATAATTGTTTTAGCGTTATAATTTAAAGAAATGTTATATTTTTAATTTACATTAAATTTTATCAATTACATAAATTACAATAATTTAAACATTTATTTTTACCGAAATAAAATTTCCTACAAATTAAATAATAATATTTGAATTGAAATATGTATTTGAATATTTAAAATATGTATTTGACTAAAAGATATAAAATTTAAACCAAATGAAAGAAAATATTAATTTATTTTAGTTATAAAGTTATATAAATTTTTCTTATAGTGGTATTTTTTTATTTGTATTTTGTTTTACAAATTGATATTATATTTATTTAGTAAAAAAATTAACGAATTACAAATGTCAAAATTTTGCACTTAATGCTTGTCTATGCGTACATTATTCTAAAATTATTCATCTCTGTATGCGTGTCTATATGTGCGTGTGTTTATTCATTTATTGTAATGCTCGGTTGTATCAGTATTTAAAAAAACACGCAATTAAATATAACATTAAATATCTCAAACGCAGATTATTAAATCTAAAATTTTCGCAATAATCTGCAATTAATTAAAATATGTACTTTTTATATTAGAAAATTTCAAAAGCTTTATTCAACAATTCTCCATACTGTGTACTTTCAAATACTATTCATTACTAATTCATTACTAAATTAGACGATTAAAATATACTTTAAACTACATCCAAAATCTATAAATTATTTTATAAAAATTATTCAGGAAAGAAATTAATTTATCTTGATGAATAGTTCTAATTTTTAGTTAAGCAATCCAAGCATTTAAATATACATGATTTATTATTTATCTACATTATATATATATATATATATATATATATATATATTGCCATGAATATATAACAGTCATTAAAAATATATTTTCACTTATATTTAAGTAAATTAAAAGATGATAAGTTATAAAATAAAGAATAATAAAAACCCATCCTCAATTATAAAAGAAATTATAATTATGATTATTTAAAAAGAAATTTTATTAAAAATTATTACTTCATTTCAGATATGCAAAAGCTTCTAAAATTATCTTTCAAAGTTTTGTGGTAAAAAAATAATCATAAAAGAACTTACTGTTCTGTTCTGTTATGAACATTTTATACATAGTATGTTTTGGTAGAAAAGAGCCTAATTTTTAAATAAATAGTATTTATTTATTAATAAATTTTGTAGAATTCTTTTAATTTTTTTTTTTTTTTTTTTTTTCATATTATTTTTATGTGAAACTAAAATTATTGATTACTTGAGTTGCATTCGTTTTATCTTCATTTTTTATATTTGTTAAAAATGATTTTATTTATTTTTTTTTTTAAATAGTTAAAAAAAAAAAATTGTTAATACATATTTCGCTTAATATATAAAACTATCGTAAACTACAAAAACATTTTTGGCAAACAAGTTAAAAACAGTGCGTCTATGCAAGTTATTTATTAAATGTAATATAAATCAGTAACATTCAAGATTAAATTAATTTACTTAAACCTGTTTATACAACATAGTTTTTTCAAGCTGCATCTTTGCACTTGTATATAATTAAAATTGAACTTTAATCAAAATAAAAATTCAATTATAAATATATAAATTTTTTAGAAGAAATGAAGTAATGTAAGCATACAACTTATGTAGGAAGTAAGATTCCATTCATACTCGGAATTGACAATAAAATTAAAAATAACATTTAAATAAGCACAAGAAAATAACAAGTCAGACTCGTGTAAAAAAAAATTTGAGGTTTTAATTTTTTTTTTTATTGAGCCTCTTGCGAGTTTAAACAAAGTTAGAACACGATTGTATTGCGTTACAAAAAAGGAGTTATTGTGTTTGTGTTGATATCAATTATAATTAAATGAAAATGCAAACAATTTCGATAAACCATAAAAAAATGTCAGTCTGCGATTACATCTGATTCTGCAGTGATCGCAAGTCAACTCGTAGAGTACTGTAACTTCAAGTACAATCGAAATTGCTTTTTATATACAAAGGAGATTAGACGTGCTTATATAATAGTGTCTTTCAGTACCCACATTTTCTTCTTTTTTTCTTTCTTTTTCTTTAATGGAATACGTTCTTCTGTATCAAAATGTCAATAATAACACTATTATATTAATTTCTCGATGTTTGACTTGTGTTTCCTGGTGCTACAGGCATCTCTCCGCCTTGTGTAGTTTCTCTCTGTGGACTCTTTAAAAAATTGATATCACATTATATGTTTACAATTTATAATGAACAGCATTCAAGTTAAACAATAATCAATACTTCATTACCTTTACTTGAATTTGATGCTTTAAAATTGCTGCCCTTAAAATTAACATTCGAGTGCGCCTTCGATATTCTTTTCCTAAACTTATCGACTTTTCAAATGTTGTACTACGCTGATCCACATCTTTGGCGTATAATATCTATAAGAAGGTAAGAGCTAGTAAATTCTTGATGAAATTGCAATATTCTATCTAATAAATTAATGTTTTTTAACTTCAAATATGAATAACTACTATGTAATAATAGTATTTCATATATCTTTAATAGAAAATTTTTATTATAAATGAAATTAGTGAATGAGCACATATGGAAAATAAAGTTTTTAGCAGAAATTTTAAATAAATTTAACATAAAAGTTGTTAATTTCTTCATCATCGATAGATAAAAATCGTTCTAAATTTATAAACTACAAATTATCTTGAGTATTCGAGAAATAATATTGTGTATAAAGTTATAAAACTATTATTTATTGAAAATTATCGATTAATAAGATAATATTATATTCAAAACCGAAGATAAAAGAAATTGATGATAATACTGAATCGAAATTAAAAAAAGAAAGAAATAAACGATAAATTATATTGAATAATGAGATAGTAGATAATCTTAAGGATAAATGATAAGCGTAAACGACAGAAATTAACATTATTAATTTCAAATAATTCACGTATTATAATATCGAATATTATTTATGAATATTAAGTATGGTAGACAATTTTAAATTAGCAAGATTAATGTATGCAAAATTCAAACTGCTCAAAAAAAAGTCTCATTACCTTATTATGAGAATCAATACGAGCTTGAATTTGTCCGTCAAGAATAAGTTGCATGAGTTCATCTTCTAAGGCTGAAACAGTTCTGTTAAATGCCGTTGCCATACGTCTCATATCAGCACTGAGGTAAGGACTAAAGTACTGTATCAATGCTCTGTTACGTATCTGAAGATACAGCGTATTAACATGGGGTGCAATATACATATCTAGCAAAATATTATCCTTAATCTCATCCAGTAACTTTAAGCAAGACGCATACTTTGACTCGTAAAATTTGAAAATAATATCTCTTAATTGCGGCTCTAATTCTAAAAAGAGCTTGAACGAACTGCTGAAAATCACCTGCTTTTGCAACTCGTGCCTATGAAAAAAGTGAAAATAGTAAGTAGAAATAATTTAACGAAAATTTGAAAGAAATTTTCAATAATATAACAAATATTATCGCTCATCTATCCTATAATTTGATATACTCTTATCCGTAAGATCCATATAGTAATTATTTAAATTTATAGTAAATATAACGATAGAGCAATTAATGATTTACCTGTCGAAAGTAGCTAATGCACATAAACCGCCGTACAAAGCAATATTTCCAGGGGATAATATTTCAGGAAAATCACAATGATCGAGCGAGGCTTGTAAAAATAATTTAGCTGCAGATTTGTATTTCCTGGTGGCGAGTTCCGCCAAACCTGCAGCGATCTTCAATTTCGTAACTATAGCTAGATTATTATCCTTCCCATGTACATCTGGAAAATCAGGTGTATTCTGTGCTTTCGTAACGTAACTAATCACATGAGTCCAATTTTGAAGATATATGGATACTTTCAAAACGTTCCAGCACATGTTCACAACATGTTTGCCACTAGTGCAATAGTCACGAGCTCTAGAATAACACTTTAATGCATTTCCAAGATCTCCGCAATCTAAATAATGATCACCCAAATCGTCATGACCTCGTCTTATACTTTCTTTAATCGAATTGCTCTTATAATTTTTAAGATCAGTATCAAATTTCTCAAGTTTAAGAGCTGCTTTTTTTGATCGCGAGTCTACCCATATTTGATCGACTATTGGTATATCTTGAGATGTAGATTGTGCAGCTACATCTGGTAATCCAGGAGCACTTAATGCCTGAGCTAATTTTTTATGTAATATTAGATATAATGAAACATTATATGTTGTCATGACATAGGTTATAGCCATTTTCAAAGCTTCGATTCGCAAAGTAGGACAATGATCTGCTATATACATTAACCTGAATAGTTTTGCTAAACCTGCATAACTATTTGCATAGACTTCTAAATCCTGTAAAAATTATAATTTTAATCATACGGAATACTTGTCAAATTAACTTTATTTAATAAAGTAATTAAAAAAAAAACAATAATAATAATAATAATAATAATAATAAAGGTGGTAATTCAAAATTGGATACAAAAAATGACTTTTGAAGAAAATTGCGTAATTTGAAATTATATAACACAAACAACTGAATATATTCATGCTTACTTATTGCACTGATATTTTTACGGGATTATAAATAAATACAATGGAACCTTATTTATAATGAATAATTCGATTGTTTATATCGAGCACAAATATAAATTTAAATGCAAATCTCAAAATGTGTAGGTAGGTTTATATAATTTAATTATAAATGCATATATCGACATGAGCATGCATATATAAATTCAAATATAATGTGTGCGTGCGTGTGCGCGTGTGCGCGCGTGTGTATAAATAAGAAAAGCTTTAGTTGCCTAAAGAATAATAATTATTGCATATTATCACTAGCATTGTGCAACTAAAAAGATCGTTACTTTATAAAAATAAATTCTTAAGAAGATAAATTTGACAATAAAGTATGAATTTAAATATAAATTACAAACCAATGTTGGATTTTCAACGATGTATGGTTCCTCTTCTGTATTATCATTGTCTTCAGCAGGTGCATCAACCTGCATGGGCTCAACTGCATTTTGCTGAGCAAAGGAGAACATTGTTGTCCCTAATTCGAGCACAATTTATTTCACAAATAGATATAAACTATCTGATGAATTTCTAAAATCGCTGTAAAGCTACACTGGCAACTTAACCCTATTATCGATATCCAAAATTATTAATCAAATTTCTATTTAATATTGCATTAAAAATATTAATTTTACCTGTATAATAACAGCGACTCTTTTTTCATATATGTTGTTGACAATTGAGATTTTAACATCTCAACTTATTGAATTTATGCCATGATTATATCCTGGCTCGGCGATTATAATTTGAGAAAATGTCAATTTTTAGTAATTTTAGCCTGTAGATTCATTCGAGCATGTTTTCAAGTTAACGAAATGTTCTAGGCGCATGCTCAGTTTCATTGGTGTGTTGGACCAATCCCATAGAGAAATTAATTTACATGTGCGATTGACGATTTTAAAATTATATTTCCTTAATGTGTGGTGGCCATGTAAATGACTATTGCCTATTAATATAATTAATACTTAATGATTACTAAAAATTAACATTCCTAATGTAAGTGAAATATGGATATTATATATTTAAGAAATAAGCATAGTTTAGAGGGTGCGAAATGTATTTAAAATTTTTATTTTAAATGTTACCCTTAACCTAAAAAAATAACGTACCTACATTATAAACAAAATTAGAAATAAGTGACGAATATAAAAAATGTATATATAATTTTAGTAGTCAACTTTAAAATGTTTGTTTTGGCTGAAATGAAAGATACTGTTAGAATACCACCATGGAAATTTAAGAAAAAGTTGAATGATGCGGTAATGGAAGAGTTGAATAGAAAATTATCAAATAAAGTTTATTTAAATGTTGGACTGTGCATTGCCTTAAATGATATTTTAAAAATCGAAGAATCATATATATTTCCCGGTGATGGAGCGTCACATACAAAAGTAATTTTTCGATTTATTATTTTCCGTCCTTTTATGGAAGAAATTCTGATTGGAAAAATTCGTAGCTGTAATATGGATGGAGTACATGTAACCTTAGGCTTTTTTGAAGATATAGTTATCCCGTCGCATAAACTGCAGTATCCATCAAGGTTTGACCAGACGGAACAAGTATGGGTCTGGGAGTACGACACTGGTAATGGAGAAAAGCATGATCTTTTCATGGATGTTGGAGAAATTATTCGTTTCAGAGTAGTTAAAGAAATGTTTGCGGAATCCTTACCGAGTAATCCTCATGGACCTAAAGATTCTAATGAGAAATCCGAATCTAAAAGCGTATCGCCATACACTTTAGAAGCAGCTATCGACGAGCCTGGACTTGGATTACTTTCCTGGTGGGAAAATACATGAAGCAATTATAAGTGTAAATAAGTATAAATGTAAATAAGATATTACATATGTTTAAATATATTTAAAAGTAAACCTAAGTTGCTAGATATATTTCTTATATTTTAATCTTATTTCTATAGCTATGTTAATCAAAATTAACATGCGCGTTATGTGTTAAAAATTGAAATTAAAAGATATATTAAATTAACAATATTATTATAAATTATAGAGAAAAATATAAGTACAAAAAATGCTCTCGTATACTTTATAATATAGAATATTTAAATGTTATATGAAAATATTTTAAACATGTTTTGAATTTACATTAGTATCGACTACTTTAATAACTTTCAGCCGAGCCTTAAATAATTTTAATATCATGTACGAGTAAAGCTTAAAGGACTTTTGGTAATACGATTAGAAAATATCGATGTGCGAAAAATTTTGCATCGACGACAAGCGATGCATTTAAAAATACTTAATTTTTATATTTAATGTTAATTTCTCGTTAATTTGATTCTACTGTAATTTTAATACCATTATAAAAAATCAAAGCATTGATGGTCTCGATTATTTTACGAACTACGGTGTGGTATTCAAATATTTCAAGCTTCGATCTTCATAACAAATTCAGCTAAAATCACGGTGATTTGGAATACTAATTGTCCATAAAATATAATTCTATAATATTCTTGCATCTTTTTTCTCTCTCTCTCTCTCTCTCTCTCTCTCTCTTTTGTTTTTTAAATGACTTTTAAACCATGCGGTTTAATATTATCTGCATAATTACTTTATCAGTTAATAGAAGCAAAAATGTTTTAACAAGTTTCAAATATAAAGAGGAAGGAATTAATCTTTTGACGTCTTAGAAAACTGCTATTTTTTCATAAATATTAATATGTAACTTTCATGCGGCGCAGATGTTATTTTATAATCTTGCAAACATTATAGAAACGTGCATTTAAAAAATGTGACATTTTGCTTATTTATCATTTTGTTACTTATCCTAATAAATTATTTAAATCTATCCACCTTAAAAACATAATTTATTATTAACTACCATAAAATTATAGAAATTATGGGCATTAAATATCGAAAGGTTCATTGTTGTCAATTAAGTTTCTTTGTTTATTTCTTATCTCTTCCATTTGCAATTGATGGATTGCTTTACATAAAAATTTGTAATTTTCATTCATGTGTAATATATATCTAATAAGTTTGATGGTGATGTCTTATGGAATAAAAAGTAGCGAACTTTTAATATTAGTAAACAAGTGGCTACAAAGCACGCAATAAGTCTAATAATTTTCAAACCTTAATGAAATGCAATGGTTGACCGAGTTCCGGTACACGAGTTCTACAAAATCGTATATATAAGAGTATGTAACATGTTAATTATAACTTACTTATCTACGAGAATAAAGTACGCGATAATAATACTGAAGAACGAGCTAATTGAGGTCTTACCACCTTGGTGAATTTTAATTTTTTTATAGGACACTTATTTCACCGAAGAAGATACATTATTATACTTGTGTGACTTGTATTTACTTAAACTTCAGTAAATTTGAAATGCTAATTCTCAATTATAAACATGATATACTTTTTTATTATTCGTTAATGAAATAAAAAAAAACCAACAAAAATATAAAAATGTAAAAATTTCATTTTAATAAGAATAAGATTTATATTATAAATTCAGCCTTTTAATTATTTTTATTTTTTCAATTAAAAAGATAAGTTTTTATGATATCTTTCCTACACGATTAAATATACATATTTCTTCTATAGTCTCTATGTTAGAACAATAAAGATTTCGCATACAAGCCATATCTTTATAGGCATTCCTTTCAAATTCCAATGAAGTTATGAGAATAATTAGAACAATTTAAAGAAAATGCATTTAAATAAAAAATTTACCTCATGTTATTTAAATAATACAATTATTACTAACAATATTATAAATAATAATACAATTATAAAATACAATGCAACTTTTCATAAGTCATTGAACAAAATGTTTTAAAACAACAATCGTGTATAATAATTCTTCATAATTGAATGATTTTGTTTAGAGAAAAAAAAGAAAAAAAGAAAAAAATAAATACATTTGCAACTAAAAGTAAAAATAAAATTTTGTCATCAAAATATAATTAAATAATTGTAAGATTATACGTAATAACATATGAGTAATTATAGAAAATACAACAAAAAAAAAAAAAAAAAAAAAAAAAAAAAACTAAAACATAACCGTTATGTACAAAATGCGAAGGTTGATATTAATAATAAATCAGAGCAGCATACGTCTATCGTAAGCAAAAATTCTCGAAATAATGTTAAAAATTCAAAAGAACATAAAGAAAACAAAAGACAATTTTACGATTACTAATAATTAATGTAATAATAAGAAAAAAGCTAAAATAGCTGCTCAAGAGCTTGATAAAGTCAACATAATTATGGGTTAATAGTCGTATAAGTCGCAGATTTTAACAAAATACCTATATATCTTTAAAAGATAGTGAAAATTTTTGAAGTAATTATCGGTTTAAAAGATCGTACTAATCGAAGATTTGGACATTTAATTACGGTTACATGTAAATCTGAAAGATAAATCGCTTTTCTACTATTCAGAAAGCCTGTACAGCTGTTATTATGTATATTAAAGACAATTCGTCGAAAAACTGATGTAAGATCTCATAAAAATTATGATAGATCTGCTTCTTTTCAGCCAAGAGATTTATGAATATCATGAATAAACATTATAGCAAAAGCCACCGCTAAATGATCTGGATCTGCTTAATGAAGCATAATTATGCAAAAGTATTGATTAAAAGTAACCAATCTTTGCTAAAAATCGTTTTTTCGTAATATTTTATTAAGAAATGTCATCATTAGAATATTAGGTATTTCAAGTAAATAACATTCATCATAATAAATTATCATAATAATAATAATAATAATAATAATAATTATAATGAATTATCGCATCATTTTCCACCTAATAATTGCATTCCATCTGAACAAACTAATATAAATAGAAATAATTTTACTTCTACAATCGAGAACGCGTAAATTTCAAATAAAAGTTTTTTAAAAGTATTTTATCTTTGGGTGAAGAATTAGCGTGACAAGCTTCTTCGAAATATGCAGTTTTGACAATACAGACAACATATTGCCAAAACAATTAGCTTCGACATGCTGGTTAATACCAGGCATATAAAAATTGACTTTGTCGGCTATTTTTGAATAGCGATGAATGGCGAATGCTGATGTGGATAATCGATCCAATTAAGAAAGCAATGCTTCAACATTTATAGAAATTTATAAAAATTATTCTGTGATAAATTGTAAATGACTCATTGCTTTTAATTAAAATTTATATATATATATATTATTTAAAATGCTTTAAAATGAAAAATCAATATGGATTTATTAAAAAATTAACTAATCATTGTTGTATATATTTCTACATGTGGATATAAGATTACTTATTTCTTATAAATTTAATAAAACAATCGAAGCATACGATAATGATCGAAATTCCTAATATTTGAAAATAGCTTCTATTTAAATAATAAGAACATATCATATACAATTGAAATTTATTAATATGTTTATGTCTATATATTTTTACTTTAATAATTTCTATCCCAATTTCAGTATACATATTTTTCTAAGTACTTGCATATTTATCAATATAAAGTATATTTTAAATTATATAATAAAGTAGATAAATATATACCTATAATAACATATTAAGAAGTGTTTTGTCATCAATTTTTTAGCAGTAACAACATTTAAATCGCAATATCTGGATAGCGGTATTAACAATGTATAAAATAAAAATTGTATTACCAACTATATTAGTTGTAAATGCTTATTTCGTTTATATGAAATTTTAGAAGGACAGTAATCTATCAGTATTGTCAGAGTAAATAGTTCGCTATATTATTATTTACGAATATATTTGATTTAATTAAAATAATATATATATGTTGAATTACAAAGAGAAAATATTTACATATTTTTTCCGAATATTAATTTAAATCAGTAAGAAGTAATATAATAATTTATTTGATATATTTTTTAATGCAATACTAAATTTATATTATATATTGTAGAAATAAAATTAAAACACTTAAAACTTTACTTTTATACTTAATTAATATTAAATTATTGCTAATGCGTATATTTGAAATTTCTTTGATTTTGCAGCAATACCAATTTAATATTAGATTATACTTGTTAATGCGGGTGTGCGCGCGCGCCCGTGTGTATATGCGTGTATGTATTGTGTTGTTTAGACATTTACATGATTTTTTTTTTTGACTTTTTTTTCCACAGGCACGCACGTACTTCCTATATTACGTGCATAATCTAATTTTATAAAAGAACTCTTATTACTGACAAATATAACAAATATAATTATGTATAAGTATCAGAAATATATGTTTAGTTACTCAAGCTTGCTCGATCATCTATTCAAATACTTTGGAAAATCAACTAAATTTTGACTGTTTTTTAACAATGAGAAATCCTAAAATTACTGCACATTAATTTAGTACAATATCAATCATATTCTATAAGCACTATGAACATCCTTGCACAAGCTCAGTACAAAATAATCGTGGTAATAACTATCTTTGTGCAAAATCCCACAAAGACTAAGTAATTATAAGACAACATTATTAAATTAATTTATACGTAATTAGTTAATATTTTATGGAAATAAAAGTACATCTTTTTGTTGATAATAAATGCTATTTCGCCAGACAGAATAATTTAATGATTATAAAGGGGCGTATAATCACTATTACAAATCTTTTCAATCAAAAAGATTAATGATTGCTTTAATTTTAACAAATTGTTTCAATAAATTATAATATAAGTATTTGCTATTTCATATTTAACATGACTTTATTTTTCAATAAGCAAAGTACAAATATTGTAAATAACTATAATAATTAATATATATGTTACATTCAAAGAATATCTAAAACATTATGAATTTGAATATTTAATTTGTATTGACTCGCAATTATTTTATTCTTTTATTTACAATATTAAAGTAAAGAATTTACAATGTTAACGTAAAGTCCCTTTGGTTAACTTAATCTTTCAAAATTCTATAAAAACTTGCTTTCCATAGACGACAATTAATGGTGAAACTATGTATTATTTTGTTTAAAATATAATTTGTCCTTTAATTTTTCCGCATACAGAGTAGCTTCAAAGTTCAAATGTAAAAATATTCGAATACATAAAGCAATCGTGTTTTTTTTTTTATACAACGAACATATACAACGAATTTGGGATATGTATAAAAATCTTTTATGTTTCTATAAATTTCTTTAGCTATCTATGGCAACTCATGATTCACGCAAAAGTAACACACGCAATTACAAATATCTGATTTATAGTTTTAACGAAAGAATTGTCATGAATTCGTGCATAAAAAAAAAAAAATGAAAAAAACATTTTCTTATGCAGCTTATCGTATTCTTTTTCATACTTTTATTATGAATATTTATAATATCATTAAAAATACAAAATAACTTTAATTTTTGTTATTTATGACTTTCAACGTATATTTTGATATTTATAACAATTCTTTGAGCATACACTACATTTATATTTAGTTTATTTATATTTTGCTTTAATTAAAAAAATAAAAAAATAAAAAAATAAAAAAAAACAATTATACCTTTAAACGAAGGTTTAATTTTATTCGTGAAATGATGATATCATTAACAAATGAACTAATAATAATTTAAATTTAATTTATATACCAATCTTATTCGATATTTGAAATTCTAACATTTTATTCTTGATTATACTCCATAGTATATTGCATTATATGATTATTTTAAATAATCAGGCGACTTAAAATTGTTACAATATCTATCTAAAATTATCTAAAATAATAAAATTTTGTTTAAGATAATTAGTATTTTTAATACATTAAATATAAAAATTACAAAGCAAGCACAGATATTTCGTGTACGTGAAATCATCTTTACCAGTTGTAAAATGAGTAGGAGAGTATTGTAAATTGAGATTTAATCAACTTTTACAATTAATTTAATAATGAAAGTCTCTCGGCTCATAATCACATTTTATAATAATAAAAAAAACATTATTAATTTTAAGAATGAGGATTTATTGAGAAAATTTTTATCAATTTACATACTAAATTAAGCTAGAATTTAATAGATAATATTTTGCAGCTAGTAATTATTACAGTGAAACCAATTTAATAATAAATATTTTATTATATAAATTTATTTTAATTAAAGGAATATTGTAAAATTTATTAAAAATGGTGATAAATATGTGGTTAAATTAGTCTTGTTTGTACATGCTCACATTTTCACAAAAATTCATACATAAAAATGAAGGAAAAGCTTATATTAATTAGCTGAATAATCTGAAAATTAATGACCACAATATATGACTATATTTATACAATTTATTATTGTGATTGTATTACTCTCATATAAGTTTATAAAAATACCATTCATATTATTATTAAATTTTTTTTTTTTTTTTTTTTTTTTTTTACAATATACAAAATACAGACCTTTATTTCGATTTCTTACTTGTATGTTAAAAACGTTTAGCAAAGTTGTCTTTTCAAAATCTTAATTAAATTATGCAAATACGAAATAATTAATGAAGCGAATACTTAATTGATATATATAATAATTTTGAATAAATATTTTTAATAAAGAAACATTGGTTATGAATATATAATATAAATACAAGTTTTGATATACAATCGATTGTATCGTGCTAATAAATGTTGTAAGTGTACTTACAGAAGCAGAAACGTGCGAAATTTACTAATTTTTTAAATTGTCATCACTGCTTATCAGAGGGCAAATATATAACTTATAAACTAATGACTCGAAAATAAAGAAAGAAAAAAATAGAATAAAATATTTTGAATAAAATTGCAATAAAAATCATGAAAAAGCAATACTTGAACGTTATATTTCTTCGTTTTACGAAGAAATAATGACAAAAATAGTCTCTAATTAATCAGAATGGGCATGATTATAAATTAACATACTAAATATAAAATGTTAAATTACCTAAATATTGTAAATTTATTTTTAATAGTTTTAATGCAATTACATAATAATATGGGAATTGTGCCCAATAAATCAAAATAATTTAATGTAACATGAAGTATTAATTAATTTGAATACTTAATATTACGGAGAATGGAGTAAATTATATGGTTCTTAATATTTAACAATTTCAATTTATAAATACATTTTATTTTAACACTTTCGGAGAGTAAAATTATTTATAAATTAAATTAAAATCAAATTATTATTTTGAAATTGGCCAATATAGAAGTATTCCTTTCAATCAGAAAACTTCATTTGTTATAATTCCCATAAAATAACCATATAAAATAAGCATTTGATATTTAAAAAATTTTCATTAAATACAAAATAATAATAGTACAGTTATAAGATATTAAAAAATTATAATTTTGATATTTATATATATATATATATTATAGCGAAAATTACTCTAAAATATTTCATTTTTAATTTAAATATTATTTACATAGAATAATGGATATTTAGAAAATTATTTATAAATGATTTGTGTCTATACACTATAATAAATGAATATAATTAATAAAATTTTAATGTTTGCTAATTCTATTTCGATAAATATATTTGTATATAATATTTTTCGAAATATTATTATTCCAACAATATATTGATAGGATAATAAAATTACTAATATCAATTTTCATTAATTTTCGTCCACTATAGAATATGAAATTCATTTTAGCTATTAGGAAATTACAAAGCATACAAAAACTAATTTTACTGCATGACCTATACCGACTTACTTGCAACATGTAAATGAATGGAAAAATTAAACTTATATTTACCAACATAAGAAATTAATGTCGATTGATTAATTGACACAAGAATGGAGATTTGCAATACAGACTTCGGATTTATTCGCATTTTACCTTAAGCAATTAATTACTCTGTATGCGGAAAGGGGCTGTGGGCAGATGTGTGAATGTGTGCACACAAACAATATGTATGAACATATATAACTCTAGCTATTATACATTTAATTAGTCATAAGTTCAGAGAGCGACTATGGAGCAAATATTATTGTTAATTATTTACTCATTTATTTATTCCATGACCAACTAGAATCGCGTCAAATCGTAATAATTTGGTAAATGTGAATTGTCGCCAGCATAAATTATAAAGCAAAGAATGTCACATTTACTATTGAAAACGCGAGGCTAGAGGATTCGCACTACGTGCACTTTGGTCATGATAAATCCAATTGATTAGTCGCGCTCATTTCGAATTACGTTCGACATCAAATCATGATGATAAACCAATTGGAACAAAAAATTTGACATCTACACCGAGCGTTGATAACAGGATCAAATTTTTAATACGACGTCACTGGCATTGCATTCATTGGGTCATGGTAGACACGGATAAGAGTAGAAATATATTCAGTATCTGTCGGTGATTATTATTATTACTATTATTACTATTATTACTATTACTATTATTATTATTATTATTATTATATATTCAACTTTACTCTCAGAATTATATTAATAGCTCTCGTAACAAGATAGCAAAAGTTTTTTTGTTTTTTTTTTGTTTTTTTTTGTTTTGTTTTTTTTTTTAATAAGAAAAGAGTGGTTTTGGTGTGTAAGGGTGGGACGAAGGAATAAAAGAAAAAAAATTATTCCAAATTTCTTAGATCGAAGATTTGGTCCGTTTTTTTTTTTAATAAGAAAAGAGTGGTTTTGGTGTGTAAGGGTGGGACGAAGGAATAAAAGAAAAAAAATTATTCCAAATTTCTTAGATCGAAGATTTGGTCCATAAGACATCGAATGCACTCCATAGGATTGGATATTAAAATTAATTATTCCTATAATTAATTAAATCATTTTAAGATATGAAAAAAGAGGACATTTTTACATAATTTTGAAGATTTAAATTAATTTTATATTACGCTTAAGTGATAATTTATCAGCTTGTTGTACGGTTTATTGAAAACACGATAAAATATATATATGCATATGTATATATATATATATATATATATATATATATATATATATATATTTATGGGTTTCATTTTATGTCTGGCGCTATTTCATTGGTATATTTCATTATTCATTTCGTAATCTAATCGGGCTAATATTATGTAAACGTTCCGGACTCACGCAAATCAGTTATTCAAACAAAAAATTTTACCATTAAATTCACCCGACAATATCTATCACGAGGTCAGTTACATCAAACAACACCCGCAATTTTCTGTAAAGTGTTATTATCTCGTTAAAATAGGGAGAGAGAGAGAGAAAAAAAGAAAAAGAAAAAAAACCGCAATAGTAACGATAAAATTAATTCACACCATCAAAATACACTAATCGCTGATAATTCGAAATTAAGTACAGGAATAACGAATGGCCCCTCAAATGGAGAAGCTATTAATCTTCAATCGAAGAAATCCAGAGTTGTTGTCTCGTGATCTCTAGATCTGTTAGCTCGTCGCCTGCTGTTGCTGTTGCTGTTGTTCTTGCTGTTCTTGTTGTTCTTGTTGCTGCTGCTGCTGCTGCTGCTGCTGCTGCTGCTGCTGCTCCTGTTGCTGCTGCTGCTGTTGCTGCTTATTTCTATGCTCGTAATTTACCAGCCGCTGACCGACCAAGTATTTGTCGTTCTTTATATGCTCGTATAGCTTTCTAAACTGCTTGATTTGTATGCTGATGGCAACGCAGACGAGATTGACAAGCAGTAGGAAGGGATAGAGTCTTCTGGCGATGAGGATTCGTATTTGAATGTCGGCGACGAAGAAGGGCACGACACCGTAGGCGACCGCATATGGCACAGCGAGGGCCAGTCCGAAGCAGCAGATGAGGGGGGCCGCGAGCTCCGTCACTACAAAGCGTAAGTCCATCTCGCGGATGCCATCGTTGTAGGCACGTTCGATCGCGAGCTTCAGACGCCACTCAGGGCCCATCATCGTCACCGCCGTCGCAATCTTCGTGTACAGCACACCTGTAACATCCATACAATTTTATCTTCTAAATGCTGTTTCTTCATTAAGCTCGAGCCAACAGCTCCTCCTATAATTGGCCCTTATCGTAGAATTCTCGAATAATTAGCTCTTAATTTATGTTTGCTACTAAGTAATTAAATTTACTTTATAATTAATTAGGATGATTGTACAAACTGTTAAAGCATTGTTTATCGTCGATAAGAAACTTGTGAGCATTCTTCGCGTATTTCCTTAAAAAATATAAAAAAAAAAATAAAAAAAAAACTTAAAAAAAAAAACAAGTCGACATAAGAGTAAAATATAAGAAAAAACGGTAAAGTTGTCTTCTTTTTTTCTCTTTTCTTTTATTACGCAAATAAAATTTTCGCATCCAACAGCCGGTGATAATCAGAACAGCAATTATCCAACATAGTAGGAATTTACTGCATTTTAACAGAATCGACGTGCATCCGTGAAAGATTATATCGTTATTTGCAACGTACCCAGTGCCCAGTCTTGCCAAACAAAAAGAATTGGATTCTGATCAAGAGGGACCCGTAGTGGCACGACGACGACGAGCTCCAGTAGCAGACCAAAGAGCAGGGGTATAACGCCAATGAGAAGGATGCTGCTGACAAAGGCCTTGGCTCCGATGATGGCCCAGTGCTTGATGCGCTCGAGGATGGCACGTCGACCCCTCGGTAGCCAAGAAACGGCCAGGGCAAGACCGCGAGCCGCTGCCCAACAGACGTACGTTCCACAAGCGATCGTGTACATCTCGTGGACGCGACCTGATAAAGCGAGAGCCTCCACACCCTCCGCTGCACATTGAATTTCGTACAACAAACTCAGAATTAAAATGTAGATATTCATGGGATATGATGATAATGATGATAATGATATTAAAAATGAAAAAAAAATTATTATACACAATTTTGTAAAATTCTATTTGTCTTTGGAGTGATAGTTTTAGCAAATTATCACGTCACGTTCGTACTGTGCTTTTTCATGGTCTTGCAAGTAATGTTACTATCCAGCTTGCTTAAAAGGAAATATGATTGCTACACTTTATGTGTGGGTGAAATTTATGGGAATTTCAAGCCTCGGTACTTGTAGAAGAAAAGAATATTATAAGATAATCTCATTACTACGACACTACTCATCATTACGTGAAATAGGATTGCGATAAAATCTAAAGTTTACATTAGTTTTTACATTTACTGATTCAAAAAAAAAACAAAAAAAAAAAACAAAAAAAAAACAAAAAAAAAAATTCTTAATTATTTGAAATGTGCGTGTGCGTGTATATATAAACACTGTTATAACAATGAGAAATCCGTGATGCCGGGGATGGACGTAAAGCAACTAACTTACTGATAGTAGGGAATAGCATCGGTGGAAGTATTGGAGGCAATGGCGCAGGCGCTCCCGCTAACCACAGAGCCATAACTTTGCGTCCGATCCAGACGGGCAACGTCATGGCCACGAGACTGGCCACGATGAGGGAAATGCACACGCAAAGCAGCAGCCCGAGGAGCCGTGCAGGGAACCATTTGGGCCTAATATACGGCTGGAAGCCAAACGGACCCTCGCGCTGCAGCAGGGCTTGGTGAGCGGCACCGAGATCCGGATGCTGGGGCTCCTCGATAACCGCTGGTCCTGGCTCGTCGGTCTGCTCACGCAACAAGTACGACTGAAGATTCAGCATCCAAGCGACCACGCGACACCAGCCCCGAATCAAGGCTTTGAGCCAAGTGCGCGTGTGCGACTGTTCCAGTAAGGCCGGCAGGATCACTTGGAGCAGGAGAAGCTCTAGCGAGAGTTCGCTTATCTGGAAAGGATGGCAAAGCTGAGTAGTCGCAACTCTTTACCGAGATTGGTTTTACAGAATATCGTGTTAGGCAGCAAACGGCTGTGCATATAATAATTGATAAGCAAGATCACGTATTCGAAGGCCCTTGACGACGTAATTGTATAGAATGTAAACAAAACAAAAAACAAAAAAAAAACAAAACAAAAAAACAAAACAAAAAAACAAAAAAAAAACAAAAACAAAAAAGAACAAAGACAATCGCTAGTACTACAACAACAATAATGATTATTCTGCTATGGCATTGTTGTACACGTAAAGAAGAAAAAAAAGAAAGAATCGATTATTATCGTCATATAAGCTGTTTCGTTTACCATGCCAACAATAATCGTAGCTGTAAAAAGTTTTTAATAAAAGTTTAATACACTCAAGACATTATATATTTATAATGAATTATTGGCTTAGCGCGATGTACCGATTGACTACAAAAATAACAAAATCGTCGTCAATAGTTTTCCTCTATCCAGATGAACAATTAGAGCCTTAGGATAAAGTGAGAGTAGATTTGATTAACGTACTTTTAATGTTTCGACTTACTTGAGTCTCGGTTTGAACGGTAACGGTGTAGGGCAGAAAACCTGGCCAAGTCCATCTCAAGATCTTAATAGGTAACCAGAGCATGAGTAATATAGCTGTTCCAAAAATGACTGCGGACGCGACCAAACGCCTTGCGTGTCTCAATATCGGTAAGTGTATCATTTCCTGTAGGGGTGAAAAGTCCGGGTCGTTGAGATTCCGGAGGAACCAGAGGACACCGGGTCGAAAGACCTCGCGTAGCAGCAGGATGAACGAGGCGAAGTAATATACATAGATCATGCCGATGAGCCAGTGTATAAACATGGAAGTTCCCGGTGCCAAGCGAAACGATGATTCGCGATCCCGCAGGGTAGCATCAAACATCGCTAAAGAGCAAATGTCTAGCCACCAGCCGCATACCAAGGGTAGCACACCAATTTCCACGACACTCAGCAGCGAGACCTGGGCATATTGATGAAATTTTTAACATAACAAGGCAGCAGTAAGTTACAAAGAGCTGCTCCGAGACTCTGCCGCTTCTTTCTCGTGATTCGCAATTTGCAAAGATGCACAAATTTGTGTCGATTCTTCCTCATAGCAGAAATTTAAAAAGAAATTTAAAAAGAAATTTTCGCAAATGCGATGCCAATTAATTACACCGCCAATTATGGCGTATTATTATTTAAGATTGTTAAAACGATCGATGCAACAACTTACGTATGCTGAAATTTAACGTTTTAACACGACTGATTCTTGATTACAGCAATGCAACAAATGACAATTACTCATATTATTAGTATTAGTGGTAATGTTGGAGGCCTCGAGAAAGTAGCGAGCCAAGAGATGTGCATTAAAACTTGACATGCCAATCTCGATTGACGAACTTACTTTGACGATTACGTAGCCTAGACCGAGCACACGTTGGAATCGCTGAAATCCCAGGAGGGCGGCAAGTGCATGGGTGACCACGAGGAAAACGCCGAGAACGCAATAGCCACAAAGAGTTGTTAGCAAACCTTCGAAATGAGATGCGGCGACCATCTCTTGCGCACCCAACAGCGATATCGCGTAATAACCAATTTGATAGGGAAGAAAGGCGAACACCTGCAAAAAATCATAATCGTGATATTAGGAGAAAAACATTGGATTAAACACTGTCTTACGAGCAAATAAATGTTACATTATTACGATATTTGTCGAATGCGAATAAAGCGAATACAGAATTGAATGAGCGTCCAAATAATGTCCGATTAGGCAAAGTCTAACTTAGGGCTCACCATGATAAAGAGAGTGTTAAGTGACATAACCCAGAAGACGTGTTCGAGGAAAAGTAGCGAGCCGTCGAGCCCGAGTAATCTCTCCCAAGTGAGTTCCTCGGCTGGTCGGTCCCACTCCATGGGATTCCAATTAGCCTCCTCGGCCTCGCCCTGGCCTCGCCATTCCTGTCCCATGGCAGCGTTCTGCTGCTGCTGCTGTTGTTGTTGTTGTTGTTGTTGTTGTTGTTGTTGTTGTTGTTGTTGCTGTTGCTGCTGCTGCAGCTGCTGATGATGATGATCCACCTCGACGTCGGGTCTTATGGGCTCGTTATCCGGGATAGGACCGACTATTGGCACCGGAGCTGGTACTGCTGGTGCCGGTGCTGGTGGCGCAGGAGGAGCCGCCATCGCCGCCCCAGGACGCTCGGCCATTGCACGAAACAACAATTCCACTGGATTTCCAGCTGCTGCGAAGAAAAAAGGTAGCAAGTATCGTTAATGGTATATTATTGAATATTATGGCAAATGAGCGTATTTTCCTGTTATTATATTAAATGTTTATTATTAAAAAATACCATTATGTTAATTATAAAGATTAAAAATATTATATTAAAAAACAAAATTTTTCAAAGATTTAGAAAATAAGGCAACAGTCTCATTATAATTGATACAATCAATGAGTTATTTATATTTATATGAATATAAATAATGAATACTACAGCTCATACTATTCAGGAAAGTTTTATACGCAAACGTACAATTACATACTTGTTAGATTCGATAAAACATAAGAATATTGTATATATATATATATATATATATATGTATATATATATATACATATTAGTGTATAAATGGAGCAGAAAGAGAATACAAATAAAAGTTTATCAGGGAAAAGTTCTTTGTTAGTGGGAACGACAATTAGAAATACGACTCGATTATTATATCTTGTAAAAATGTCAAATTGCACCTCTTGGAATTATTTTAATAAAATTTTAACGCACAATGTACCCAAAAGATAGATAAAAGTTACACAGAAAATAGTTTAGTTTTACTATCCATTAAGTTTGGCATTGTAATAAATTAATTTAAACCTACCCATCGAGCGCATTAGTCAAAAGTGTAATAAAGAAATGTTAAAGATAATTTAACAGAATCTTATTAAAATGATAAATTCCTATTAGGAATTCTATTATAATAATAATTATAATAAATACAATGTACCGTAAAAACTTATTAATTAATTTTATTTTATATATTACAATTATTATGGTAATGCATTAACAAACACCGATTATGTTAGTTTAGAAAATGTAAATAGTCCATTTATAATTAAAAATTCTCTTAATATAATAGAATGGAATATAAATATTTTAAGAAAAATTATTATTTACCATGATTATGAATCTCCTCGGGTCTTGGTTCATCTACGAATGGTGGTACGTTATTATTATTTTGAGCCTCTGGCTGAATTACAGGCTGCTGATTCTGAACTTGATCACCTTGCATAGGATTATCGACCGGCGGCGCTTGAACATTCTCTCTTTCTAGCCAATCGGGACCACCGGCGTGTAAAATCTGCTCTCTTAACCAAACTAATCCAAGAAACGTAAACAATGTGCAAGATATTACAAAGCAGCCGTGAAAAACATCGGAGGATATATTTTCAGTTGAAAGCATGTCCATAGGTAATGACATCACCTAAAATAACATTTCATTACAAATATTAATTTAAATCAATTATAAGCGATTATTTCTAACCCTAATGATAGTTGAAATGACAAAAGAATTTCATCAGAAACAGAAAAAGTATTGGAAAAAATTAATAAATATTAATAAATAGTAATAGGCAATAATACACGAAGGAAATATAGACAAAATAGATAATACGATACACGGATTAACCATTTAAATAATACAAAGTTTGCGGTATTGTTAAAAATGTTTTCCTTCTTATTCTTATACTAATGTAAATCAGTCTTTAGTTTGTCAATGATAAAAATAATTAAGTAAATAAATAAATAAGTATAAGTTTTTAGGTATATAATCGTTATGTAAA